AAGAGAACGCCGTGACGGCGCTTGCGGTGAACCGTTCGGCGGCGGTGGTATACTGCGGTTCCTCCGACGGGTTATTGAACTTCTGGGAGCAAAATTTGGTTACACTTTTTAAAAATAAAAATAAAAAATAACTACAATGACGTGACAATTTGATTGAGATGACATTTTATGATTGGAGGGACAAGATTTGGGGACAAGGGTTTGAGACAGAGGATTTTGATTCGGTAAAGTGACCTTGTTCTGCTACTAATGAAGTCAAGTCATTTAAGATTTGAACTGTGGAAGTAGCTTGGTCGCTTCCTTGAAATGCTTTGAACATCTATTTGGTATAAAAAAAAATATAAAAGAAATAAAGCAAAAAAAAAAAATTATAAACTTGAAAAATAAGTGAAAAAATTATATATAAAAAATAAAGTAAAAATTTAATTATTTAGTTAAAAAAATAAATATAAAAAAGTGAAATAAAAAATAATTAATTTTTAAATAATAATAACACAGTATGTGCATAATAAACGTTTTAACCAATTAGTTTTTTAATTGATTTTACAAATTTTAAACAAATAATTGTTGCGGTTTTAAAACATCAATTAATTGTAAAAAAAATATATTTTAAAAATGGTTGTGATGGTCCAAACACTACCAGGGTTTAAAATTAAATATAAAAAATTGTGGTGGTTTAAAACCAATTAAATTGCAAGCGCAGCCACCCTTCCCTGTACTTCCACTCTTTTATGCGTCCCTCCACTTTTTTATTTTTTACCACATAATTCCTACTTATTAAACTCCCAAACTTATTTCCACTCAAACATCATTTGAGTCGGTTGGATTATCTTCTCTTATTTCTTACCTATTATTTATCTATCAAACATATCATGGATCTTAATCTAACAAGTTGTTATGATTTTCATATTTAACAATTTATTATTAATAGTGAAAAATAAAATTATAATTATCTAAGATTAACATACTTACAATATCTAAATATACACGTGATTATATATATATATATATATATATATATATAAAATAATAATAATAATAATAATTTTGTATTAACATATGAAAAAAAATCATAATTGTCAGTTAAACAAGATTACTAACATCTAACTACACCAAGATAACTCAAAAGATTATACTGACATCATTAACATGACTCTAATATGAACTCTATTAGTAGCTTATCTCTGTTTTACTCTCATACAAAGTATGATCATCGTAGTACAATCATATGAAAACATGTAAGAATAAGTTAGTATGCAAAAGAATCAGTTCACAATCAACTTTACAATGTACAACCTTTACTGAACAACATCTTAGCTTCGCAACATATCAACATATTAAACTTCCAACACGACTAGATAATTCATTATCGAGTCAACATAGTATGTGAACAACACAATGCATCAATATACATACATAAAACAACATTCAACTTGAACAACTTAACAACATTGTACTTATCAACACATCAACATAGCATGTGCACAACATTGCTAAACAACTTAACAACCTATGCAACTAATACAACTAAATGCATCATTATGGATTTCAACTAAGAGATCTTCTACAACAAAGGTGAATAGTCAAAGGAGTTTGACTCTATCTAACCAATAACATGATATTTTCAATATAGTTAGATCAACAACCAATTTGGATACTAATTCATAACAACATGGTTTCTCATATTTATCCACTTAAACTAGGAAGTATAGCATTTTCATCGGGATAAAACAACTTGAGTGTGAGTCTATCATAACATTAACTTACATAACGAAGCCTACTATGGGATTAATTAGTCGATTACCCTCCAAATATAACGTCATTTCAATATTTAGTTAGGAATTTTGGTTCCTGATCTTGTACCTTACTTAATTAGTCACTTTATACATATATGTTTCAATCGTGTTCACATATAGATCAACATTAGCTGTTTTATGATCAATAGCTCGATCTAACTCTTATACTGTGATTGCTTATAGTTGGTATATGTTGACCTTACCCATATTCCATATCAACTATGGTCTTAGAGGAGACTTAACTATTCACTTTAGGAGTCAACTACTTAAAAAGGATTTTCAACAATTAGACTCGAAGAACATTACAATAATATCATCACAATGAAATATCAAACTTTTAAAACAATATCTCCTCTAGTCCTAAGCCAATCAACTCAACACAACTCCATTCCTTAAACATCCTCAACACAACTACTTAGCATGGTATAACATACAATGCATGTTGTACTCCAACATTTTATCAATTATATATATCCATGCATAAATAAATGATATCACACAACATATAAGTTATCCTACTTCACATTTAATGTTCAACACTTAACCAAAAACAACATATTTTAAATAGGAAACTCACACTTGATGTCATTCTTCCTGCATCTAATATCATTGAGACAGAAAGCTCCTACACTTGCCCACACTTGACACCACTCAAATTGCACTTAACATAGATGAAATATAGAACCTCTGTTGTTCTCATGTTTAGTGTGGCCAAACTCCATGCTTGATCTCATTTTGGATAAAGAGTCTTTACTTGACTCACGTCTAATATCATTGAGTTGGTGCCCGAAGTTGTCTAAGTAGAGAGTCTTTACCTTGGTCACACTTGGTTCCCCTTCCACTAGGATCTGATGTCACCAAGTTAGAAACATTTTTCTCTCCTCATGTCCGATGTCATTTAACCCACACTCAATGTGATTAAGTCAAAGACCTTTTCTCTTCTCACACTCGATGTTACTAATCCCATGCTTGATGTGATTAAAGTAGAAAATCCTTGATTTGAGCCATGTTAGGCGGTATGGTGAAATTTGCACATAGTAAATTCAAAAATTTGCTCAAATCCACCTAAAACTTAGAAAATTCCAACATGCAATACAACCATTCACATATACTCATCATCAATAACCCATTTCTAGCAAGAAACAACACATGAACCTATCATTTGGCTAAAATCACCAAGATCACCTCAACATACTCCATAAACCACAAAACTTAAAACCACCATCATTCAACTTGAAATCAATCAACATGACAATAATTTGATGAAAATCAATCAACGTGCATCTCAAACAATCAAACATGAATTAAAGTCCTAGCTTCCTCTACTTCTAACTCCTAAAGAAATAAAGGAGAAGGAAGAAGAAGGTGGTTTCCAAGCTTGCTTCAAACTAACCTTGATTCTTAGCTTTCTGAGCTTTGAATCACCAACCATCAATCATAACTCTTAAGGGAATGATCCTACAAGCTTTGGAGGTCAGTAAAAGAAAGAATTTCTCTCGACTTCAAAACATCTCTTTTTAGTTTATCTCTATAAGATTATCTGATAAATGAATTTATGAAGTTTAAATCTTAAAAGAAGCCTTGTATACCTTTCTCTCAGAGTCAAATCAAATCTTTGTTCAAAAGAATCTCTCAACAGCAACCAACAAACATCACAACAATTAATTATTGAAAGAAAACAACAATAATTAAGAAAATGTACATTTTTACACTTCACCTACTTAGCAACTACTAGTATGGCATTTTGTTGTTATTATTTACTTTATGAGCATCTCAGTTGTCGCATTATTACTAAGATAATAATGAATCTTGAGTAGATTCTCACTCTCATTTAAAGGTGTCAAATGTTCAATTTACGACTTAAAAAAGACTAGATCAATTTGACTTGTTCTAATGGACCATACGGATTAAACTAGACTAGTTAAAATTAGATACGAAAAATATCAAACTTACTTGACCCAATGTTTCCTTCTTTTTCTTTTAAATTTATACAATTATTAAAAAAAGGTGGCCAAATATAATCCAACTCAACAGGTTAGGCTAAGTTAGAAATCACACTACAGGTATGTTTATTTTGCAATCACGTTCAATGTAATCCAAAAATAACACACTACTTATTTTGATTTTTCTCATCGGAAAGATGAAAAAGTCTATTCAATTAATGTTCAACGATTTCCCAAACAGAAATCACATGTTTAAAATAAAATCAGGTTAATCCGTCTCGTTTCTCATGCTTGACTTGATGAGCTGGGTGAAAGTTGACTGGCTAATTTGACAATTTTAATCCTTCTCTGTGTCGTCACCGTTTCTAATGTTATCGATTTTTACATTGTCAGTAAAACAAAGAGATTATGAAGGGATTTGTTTCCTTAACATAAAATAACTTAAATTCTGTACAAACTTCTCAAGGAAGAGAGAAGGTATTGCAGTATTAAGACCATTACATGTGATGTATGACAAAGTGAAGAGAAAGAAGAAAATTTGGAAGAAAAAAAAAAAAGAAGCTCATTTATCTGGAACGAAAATACTTGCCAAGTTTTATAGTCAAAACAAACGATTTCATAATTAATTGAAATTTAATTACTTGGAGCTGAATTAATTTATATTTAAAATTCTTTGATATTTTAGAATTATTCATTGAAATACATTTTAAGTGTATTTTTTCTATAAAAAAAAAAACTTAAACAAGCAAATCTTAAGCAAAATGATGATACATTTTATTAAAATATATTATTTTCTCAATTTCTTTTTTCTTACGTGTCATATGACAGTATTATAGTTACATAAATATATACACTACCAATGTAAAGTTTTTTTACACTGGTAACCAATTAAATCTTTTAATTGTGCTATGTCATTATAAACACATTTATTTTTAATAGTGATATGACACAATTAAAAGATCTAATTAGTTGTCAGTATAAAAAACTTTTACATTGATAGTGTATAGGTGATTAAGTCTATTTATTTCTCACTTTAGATATAAAATTTTAATGTTTTCCTGAGGAGGGAGCGAAAAAGGTTTGAAAGGTAGAGTATTGGTACGACGTCGTTGGGTGGGTCCCACAGTTGGCACCACGTAGGATAGGACTCCTGACGCCGTTAAAACGGCGTGAGCCCTGAAGGACACGGGAATGACGGAGACACCAACGTTCAAAATTGAAGGTGGTTTTTGTTTTAAGTAGTCTCTCTCAACTTCCAACACCATCACTCACATTCAAACCAAACATTTAATATAAGCCTCTTTCCATTTTTGAACGGTCATTCATCAAATCCACGAGAACTCTGCTTCAAATTACGCTTCTGCGTCAGATCCGATTCGCAGGTATTTTTCTAAATTACTAATCTGTCTTTCCCT